TTAAGAATACATACATACTACTCGACCAAGCGAACTAGACAACTGTCAAGCGTGACGTGATTGACTTCGGATACGGGTAGCAGAAGAATCCAAGTGATTATTTTATTTGATTAGCTATTTATGTTATCTACAGATATTTAAATATTCCGGTTCAGGGTGCTTCTATGTATTATAATATAAGTATATATTTACAAATCAAAAGTAAATAAGTATGTTTATCGGTTGTCTAGTAACTATAGTACGAATACAAGGTTAGCTTAGTTTGGGATTAGATGGCGCAATGTGAATCATTATCATCAGAGCGTGGTGTTGCATACAAAAATGTGAATGTGCCCGTTGTATGTTTCTGTTATCTTTTAAATGTAAAACAATACGTGATAATCTCGAAAAAAATTGAGAACAAATGATAAATACCGCGACACCGCCTAACATGTATGAACATGATTCGATGCAAGTCTTCACTGGTCATCGTACTCCAAATAAAGTAAAAAATTATTTCCAAGTATTTTAAAAGCAAATGAACAAAACTATGACCTGTTACCGTTAGAAATTTAAAACTGTGATAAATAAGGGACACGCTACTACTTATCTCTGGTATCAATGAGCAATAACGAGAAATGTTCAATCAATAAATTCAATTTCAAATATAAGTGAGGAAAATATAATGTGTGGCGACTCCCACATACAAAGAAACAGAAACATACTACAGCGCCATCTAATGAAGACACACCGAACTACGGAGTAACTACTAAAATGAGAATTGCTAATCCTGTATCGCGATATAAAGAATTCCCTCGCCGATTAGCATATATATACAACTTCCCAACATCAACCGTTGGGCCGCGGCCCGCCAGGCATGATCACCTAGCCTGGTCTGAGGATCCTCCCTTTGTGTTGGAGGGACATGACACCCGTTCCTCCACAGTGGTGACCCCGACGTGATTGGAAGCAGCCTTCAAAAGGAGCATATCATCAGCAGCACCATCGTGTACACTCCCACAGCGATGAGCAGTAATCAAGTCTCAGCCAGCCAGCAACCTCGGCCTCTACAGGGATACCACACGCAGGTAGCGACTGCTCCAGCCTGGTTACCTCTACGGCCTCATCAGCGTCTAGGCACAGCACACTGCACCTACGGTCCACGTAAGAAGAGCATTTTCTCTCCCGTCTACGCAGCAGCCAGCCACTACGCAGCAACCGCCCCGACTCACTGGGGACTTCACCGCAGCACCGTGCACCGCACGCCATCCCGACTCACTGGGATCAGCGGACTTCAGCCCGACTCACTGGGGCTAGCGGCACTCAGTTCCGACTCACTGGAACTAGCGGCACTCAGTTCCGACGCACTGGAACTACTCACTACTGGCACTGGCACTGGCGCTCCACAACAGAGCATAGACAGCTGACTCATCATATATCGACCTCCGGTCTTGGAGGGGAGTGATGTGGCGACTCCCACATACAAAGAAACAGAAACATACTAGAGCGCCATCTAATGAAGACACACCGAACTACGGAGTAACTACTAAAATAAGAATTGCTAATCCTGTATTAAAGAATTCCCTCGCCGATTAGCATATATATACAACTTCCCAACATCAACCGTTGGGCCGCGGCCCGCCAGGCATGATCACCTAGCCTGGTCTGAGGATCCTCCCTTTGTGTTGAAGGGACATGACACCCGTTCCTCCACAAATGTATTCGAAATAAAATAAAATCTTTCTTTTGGGACCACTTCAAAATCTAATAAAAATCATTGTTATTGGCTTCAATGTTGATTTCAATTGAATAAAAATAGTATCGAATATTTTTTTGTATTTTTGATCGCTTTCGATTTTATTTTAATAAAATTCAATAAAAGTTATACGAACTGATGGAACCGTTTCTAAGAAGTCACTCTTCTACAAAAGAGACACTCGTCAACTACGTAGCGAAACGTTTTACAAGTGTTGAGTGTTTTTCTATAAAATAAGTTCATAAAAGACGGCCCTATTGGCTAAATGGTTAGCAATCTAGACTGCTAAGTGGTTCATCACCATCAGTAACAGCTTTGAATAGTTCACTACTATTCTCCTGTCACATGTGCCTCTCTTTAGGAAAGAGGTTTTGGCCTACTACACCACGCTAGCCAGACGGGTTGGTGTTGGTTTTTTTTCAAGTTACCCTTCCCTTTGCAGTGTGGTTGTCCTGCGTAATTTGGTGCCTTGACGTTGGTTGACGGTTCGATTCTTATCCAGATATTGGTATTGTGTAATCAGCACGATCGTTTTTTTTTTTGTATCTGGGCGTTATTTATCTTTAGAAGTATGTGCTCGCGTACGCAAGCAACGAAAAAAATGCTTAACACCGGTTTTCTGTGAGGTTATGGTATCTGATTCTAGACACCCATTGTATGGCCAAACCAAATCACGAAAATGCTGTAAAGTTGAAACAGTTTCCTGAAGATAATTCCTGCCGACAATAACTTCCGATAACTTCCGAATAACGCCGATAAATTCCCATGGGCAAATCGGAAGGCGCTTAATAGATTCGTACCCAGGTTGGCAGATCTAAGGACAATCTGTCAAGGTGGGGATTTGTCGACTCAAGAGCAAATAAATGCAACTGTAGTGCATTTCCACAGACAATGGGCCACTCGCTAACATGCTCGGCGAACCCAGAATCATGTACGCTTGTTGATACAAGTCGCAGAGCAAGGTCAAATGCCGTTCGCGTAAGTAAATAGTTTCATGTTATCACATTTAGGCAATTTTCCGGCGCTTTCCTGTATAATTCTAACATCGCTTAAAATTACAAAATGACGTCAGTGACGACGTGTTTTGTATTCATTTGTCATAAATAACTCTGAGTGCCTTACTGTTAGGTTAATGTTAAAGTAATGATAGAATAAAAACTACGCTGTTTTAAACTCAGATTTGTGATGGTGATTACATAAATGAGCCAAGGTTGATTGCACGTCTTGATTATCGTGTGATTAGTAATTTGGGATCAAAAACTTCGAAAATTTATGGTCATACGTAATAAAATGCGTCAATATAGTTTACTTAAAGGATTTTCTTCTGTGTATCAAATTTAATTGTTTGATTGGAGCTTGGCTAATGTTTGTTAGTCATAACCCATACGTTCCGTAATTGTAATGTCTTGGACTGTTCATAGACCGTTCACAAATCAAGTATGTTCTCATAACTGACCTACGTTACAGAATCTTACAATTTTCTTTTCTCTTCAATTTACCCTGTTTATAAATAGTATGAATTAATAATGATTTTGCCATTACTCATCAATAAGTGCTAGTGTAAGCCGGTGGGTGGTGCATTGATGTGAGAATTATATGAACTCTTTCCATTTAAATATTCTTATTGTACACACTGCCTTCATATGTTGTATCTTAATATTTTTTTTCTTTATGCACAAGTATGAGTTGTATAATGGCGGACTTAATGCCACAGGCAATTTCTCCCAGTTTACCTTAGGGCGGTGCTGTAATGTGTGACTAGATGCACTAGACATTGATATGTAAAGTAAAAGAAAATTATTGATAAGTTAGACAGAAACAATGCGATAAATATACATACATACATACGTACCAAACACATACATATATATAAATACTTACCTAGTTACATATATATATATATTTTTACCTCGGTAACTGACCTGACACATTTGGCAATTCATTGCGTGACACCTTTTATCATGAATATAATCGACTTTTCAATGTATTTCATATAATAATATCGAACGTACACGCTATCCTGATTTCGGAAACATGGCTCAAACCTCATCTTCTTTCTACTATTTATCCTCTTCCAGGCTTCGTTCTCATCCGGAATGATAGAATTGACGAAAGAGCGGGTGGGGTCGCAATCTCGAGGTTTGTGTCATAGGAGTGAAAATCACTTTGGGGGTCGTCTATTGTGTTCCGGCCGCTGACTACTTCACTGAATTCGAATCAATATTAGAATCTGAGGTCTGAGTATCAGCATCACATCATTATGGTAGATTTTAATACTGATCTTTTGGCTCAAAATTCCTCTTGTTCTCTTAAACTGCTGAATATATTCCACCAGTCTACATCTTTTACCGCTTGAAGCCACTCATCCTAATGAAGAAGACACTCTGTTGGATAAGGTCCAACAGAGTGTGCCATTACTTCGTCTCTTACAAAAGTTTCATCGCATGGGCAATACTTAGCACCTAGTTTTTCACCCCACGATCTCATTTTTATTACGTATAAAATCAAAACGCCTAACCCTAAAGCCTAAGCCTTATATATATTATATAGAACAAACAAAATTTATTTATGTATACTTAATTTATCTATATATTATATTTTTTTGTGATGGACATCAAATGGTTATCCATTCGCTAGCTTCAATTATACACCTGCCACACACCGCTCTACATCACCCAAAGGTTGACTGGAAGAAAATGGCTATGGCATAAAGTCCGCCTTATACAATGTGTTTGCAGGATATTAAATAAATTAAAAAATATGTAATGTATGCACAAATGTTCATGTCTACAGCCTCAAGGTGACGTGAATATGGTTCATATAAGAAACTTATTGGAAGATTATAAAAGAGAATGCTGTGATTATCATAATAGTGTATAATTTTTTTGTTGATTAATAGGTATATATAGTTTTTGTTTAATACTGTGATATTTTTATCATTTATGTTTTAAATGTTTAATATTGGTCGTGTTCATCCAACAGTTAAATTAGAATGTTAAAATACTTGATAAAATTTCTCAATATACCTTAATATACACACAGGAGTACAGTACTCGTACTATATGGTAAATAGTATTTAATTTTATCATGATCATGAAATAATAATACTAGAAGATTGAAAAATTTATTGTGTAATTTGGAATAATGTTTACAATCTGTTGAAACAATTTTATTATATGACATTTATTATGAAATATGGCCTAAATGTGTATGTATCAGCTTACATTTTTTTTGTCTGTTAAAGAAACAGAAGATTGGAACGACTTTACGGTGCAGGAACGGTTCGTTTCAGATGGTATACCAACATGTTCTCGGCTTTAGATTTCTCGCCCAGTCTTACATTTACTTCTCCGTATGGGAAAAATCGACTCGAGAACGTGACCTCGCCGTCCCCACAAAATACCTCAATAGAACTTCGGTCGACAAAGATTCGCATTTGTAGTCGACCAAGTGGCCTCCAATCGGTTCTTCGAACTCCATCGTTACCACCACGATCTAGACTTACTTTACCATTGTTGTTATCATATTTAAGAGTGACTGTGGTATTACCTGCTTCAAAAATAAGATTGAAATCTTCATGTTGAGAAGCAGTTATCACGATTTCTCCTATATTGTTGTGTAACTTAATACTTGTTCCAGGGGGCGCAATACCCGAGTAAAGCAATCCGTTGCGAATATCCAATATCTCATCTACAGGCTTTTGAATTAGTTCATAAGTAGAGGTCAGTTGTAAAGCTCTTGGAATTGTCAATTGACCACTCCAACCGTCGTTTCGTTCGGGATAAACCTGTTCCCACATACTAAGCCAAGCCACTACAATTCTACGCTTCTGTGAATCTATAATAGTTTGTGTCGCATAAAAATCATGACCATAGTCCAACTCCTTGAATTTTGTTATTGGAGTAAATACTTTAGATTTATAATCAAAGTCTCCAACAATGTAACCGGATTGATACAAATTTTTATATTGGTCTCCCTGTGGTTTTACACCTTGTGGAGAAAACAAGAGTACAAATTTACCGTTGAGTTCAAAAAAATCAGGACACTCCCACATGTATCCTAGAAAGCCATCTGATTCACCTAAAATTGATGCTTCTTTCCAAGATTTTAGATCCTTTGATGAAAAGAGTAGCACTCTTCCTAGAGTATCGTTCTTAAAAGAATTTCCTATAACCATGTAAAAATCATCACCATATTGCCAAACTTTTGGGTCCCTTATATTCGGTTGATAGTCGTTCCCCAAAAGAACAGGATTTTCGGGATACTTAATGAATTTTACTCCATTAGTGCTAGAGGCAAGTGCTTGACGTTGCTGTATTTCGCCTTGATTGTTACTGTTTCCAGTGTAAAGTAGATTCATGGTTTCATTGACAATTATAGCACTGCCTGAGAATACTCCAGTCTTATCGTAATTCTTATCAGGGTACAAAGCTATTTCAAGATGTTCCCAATGGAACAAATCCGAGCTTTTTGCATGTCCCCAGTGTGCTATTCCTGGCTCCTGGCTTGACAAAGGATTGTACTGGTAAAAAAGATGAAACTCATTCTTGAACACGCAAAAGCCATTGGGGTCATTCATCCATCCAAAAGGAGGTGCGAGATGAAAATAAGGATAAAAACGATCATTAACACTAGTAGTGGTACACTTACATAAAGAAAAATCTACTAACAATAAGTTTACAATAAACGCAAAAATTTTGTTCATTATGTCACCACCGGATGTGAACAATGAGCAAATGAAACACGAATAAATAATATCTGAAATTGAACTCTTTTATATACTTGTGTTATCGCGTCTCATCGCATTATAGTAACTGAATAGTGTTTACAGCTGAGCTATATATATTTACAAGATAAATTCTTTGTCACACACTTAAGTTGTCTGTAATTAGTAATACGGAAGTGTTGGTTAATATTCTAGTCGTTAGTCTACAAAAAGAATATAAAAGGAAGTTGTTGTTATAATATTGAAACTCATACGAATATTTTATAATAATAAGCTGTTTTTAAATAATACAATATTAATTTCAATCAAAGTACGCGATTGTTAAAATAAGTACTTATAGACTTTATGAATATAAATAAGATTTATAATTTTTTTGTTTAAAACTGATGCAGAATGGAGATGAAAGCCGATAAGTGTACAGTGACTACTTTCTTTTGAACATATTTTTAGGTCAGAAGATCCATATGGTGGTGATAGTATCATCATCGTCATTGATGATATGGCTTAATACATAACCTAAATTAATGTATAGTTAAACAGCGAGAGTGGATTCGAAAACATCATTCCAACAGCACCTGCGAAAACAATTAAAATGAACATAAAATGAATAGCCTTGGCAAAATGTAGATTAACAGTTTTTACATATAATCTTCAAAATTAATATTAATTTAGTTTTTCTGCTTAAGTATATCTTCAGTGAGAGGCTCACCTAAAGGAACGTACAAAGCTTTAGTACTAACGTACGAACGACAAGACACAAGACGTTGACACATGCTGCGGGGTGTCGTAGTTACCTCCATGTCTTCTGCTTTAAGAGATATTGTTCGTGGCTTTTCAAAGTACACCAAACTTTTCAGGTACCTCCTAAACAAGGAAAAATCACAAGATGCAAAATCCCGGCTCCTGGGAAACTATGACGTCACTGTACTGTCACCTTTGACATATTACTGGGTCTATCTTATTGCATCTGTGTCATGTTGTATTTACAAAATTCAGGTTACTGTCGAATAAAAAATTCTCACAACTTCCTCAACGCTAAAACGCTATATTAACTTTTACGGTTCCCTTTGTTATTTTCAAAGTGGTTTTTAGTGTTAAAGACGAGGATTTTCTATGCGGCAGTTGTAACAACCCCTTCGGCCGCCATCGAAAACGATGGTTCGTAACCAGTTGAGGAGGAGGCAAAAATTATCATTGTACGAAACCAGTCTCGGACAAGGATCCTTTTTTCTTTTTACGAAACCTACTAGTTACGAAGACGCATACATGGAATCGATTAAATATTTCTCCTTATTACTGCACCTACGTACAGAATCTTATGATTCATGAAATACTGACCAGTTATAATTATTTATTTGTGTCAAATGTCTGTCTTTGATGTTAGTCCCATGAAAGTGGTTGGTTGAATGCAAAAAAAAAAACAAGCTATTAAAAATAAATTCCTTGAACGGAACCGTGGTTTCGTAAAAAGAAATAAAGACCCTGGTTAAGAACCGGTTTCGTATAAAGATCATTTTTTCCTAAAGCTTTCTAATAAGCTCATAAAAGAGACAATATCGACCCATCAAAGACCTTGACTACCGCTAATGAACATTCGAAACTGACTAATACTGTGACTAATAATGAAGCTCAATTTAGATCAAAGGATTTTGTTTTGTAGTTATGTATATATTCTTCTTTATTAGAATGGTTTTTGTTTGTCTAACCCTTTATTAATACTTTTTGAAAATATATCTTCAAAATTCGGCTCTCGGTTGAAGAGTGCAAAACACAACATATTATAAAATCCACGTGTTTGTAATACAAATGACTACGACAGAAAAAAATGTTGTTGTATGGTATGTATGATAGCATTGTTGTATAAATAAGTATTACAGCTAGGTTATTTCTGCTACTCTTTAAGTAATCAACGTAAATTATCTATGGAACTCAGAATTGTAGGCGGCCCGACATTCATGTGGCGGGGTTTCAATTTTTTAACTAAGTTAGTTAAAAAAAAATCTTGTGAAGATCCAATATGTAACAATTATAGATAACACATTCCACAGTTCTGTAACACTTGTAGTAGCAATTTTAGACAATGCTTGAGTAATACTAATAAAATAATAATAATAATAATATATTCTACCACATACACACAACGCCATCTAGTCCCAAACTAAGCAGAGCTTGTACTATGGGTACTAGACAACTGATATAAATACATATATACTTTTTTTTTTTTGTAAATACATACATATTATACATAAAAACACCCAGACCAAATCAAACATCAAATGTTCATGCACACAAATGTTTGACTTGAGCGGGAATCGAACCCGCGACCTTTGGAATAGCAGTCCGTTACACAAACCACTACGCCATCCAGAAAAAAAAAAAAAAAAAAAAAAAAAAAAAATTACTATTATTAATTATTATTATTAAATTAAAATTATGAGAGTTTTACTTTTGGAAACTACGATGTGTCTACTTCACGTATTACTACCGTGTTGAGTTGTATACACTCTGGTGCAAATGCAAGCAATTATTGGAACAAAGTTCCTTATCGCGCGTTACACACTCCGAGCGAGGGTGCGAGACCGAAAAATGTATAACAATACTTTTTTCCGACACTTTTTGACATACTCGTAGTACGCACGCACTCTTGCTTAGGTCTTTTAAACGAATCAACAGATTTTAATGCGGTTTCTGGGTAATAGAAAGAGTGATTCAAGGGGAAGGTTTATATGTAAAATAAATACATATTGTAGTAGAGAAAATACGAGACTTTCAAAGATTTGTCGTAAAAAACATGCTTTTGAGTTGCAAACGCTGACTAAACCTTACGAGATACACCAAAATAATTTACTACGGAATTGTATATCTTAAAAAGGTCTACAAAAAAGTCGGGATGGTATATGTCTATCTGCTAAGGATAAAACACAGTAGCCATTTTTATCTTTTAAATACATATTACAAAAAATAATAGATTATTTATTTATTTTATAGAATACATTATGATTCCTTGTCCAACTAAATACGTTAAGTACGTTGTGCATTTAATGTAAATAAAAATTGCTCTTTACAGCATATCGCTAAAATGAATATTTTAGAAGATATTAGAGGTTTAAAATGCGTCGGGCAGTACGTTCGTCCCAGGTGGCAATGGCCGACAGGAACAGAGCGGGCCTATAATAATAATAATAATAATATATCTCAGACATCTCACACACGGCCATCTGATCCCAAACTAGGCAGAGCCTGTACTATGGGACTGCTGATAAACATACTTATATATTTTTAAAAACATACATATTATAGATAAATTACACCCAGACACAGAACAAATGACCGTGCTTATCACACAATATTTGTCCTGGGTGGGAATCGAACCCACGACCTCTGGTTAAGCAGTAAGAGTCACTAACCACTAGACCAACAGGCCTGTCAAATAATAATTATTTATTTATTTATATCAAGTACATATATCTAAAGTCATCATGGTCTACACTCGTACACCCACCCACACCCACACACACACAAACACACACCACACAGAAACACTCGTACACCCATAATGTGTTATACGCTCATGATACACAATCGCGCACATACAGTTTTACATTACACACCTTTTGTTTTTATATTATTTATACCATGTCTTACTAAACATTCATTGACAAAGTACTATATTATTTGTAAATGTTCTAAAATTATATAATTCTATTTGTTGGAGGAAGGCTCCGGTTTCTGTGACGCAGTTTATACTATGAGTTAACTCTAGCTTCCAAATGCCATGAGCCAATTAATTTTAGAATTTTATTTTTTTAAATCTTATGTAAATACGAATTATAAATTATTTTGTGTTTAATTCCTGGGTGTTTTTAGAAGGTGGTTTTCTTATTTAAATATAATTTATTTATATCTATAGTTAAAAAAGTCCTGTAATAGTAGTCTTATCAACGTCAACCAAAAAGCGAAAGGAACTTCTATCCGACCGGGGGTCCATAGACACCTCACGCCGTTTTTACTATTAGAATCATTTCAAATGAGCTTATATTAACAAAAATTATGAGTGAGCAATGCAATGAAAGTGTCGAAGCATTAAAAAAAGTTTTTTTTTTTTATTGTAACGCTTGTCAGAAGTTTTACAACTATGTGTAAACCTCCTAAGGCACTCGCTTCATTGCGATAAAACGGTGCTTAAAACGTAAGTAACAAAACGATAACAATTTGTTGTTAATCCCACTAACAGTAGGTGTGATTTGTTTTATGTTCATAAATATAATATAGAATCGGTTTTCATGGCAAGGCATGTACATTACTCACTCAGATATTGATAGCAAGCAATTATGAAAGATAAAAAGTTTAAGTTCAATTCGCGTACAAATGGTCACGTACACACGTCTTGTACTTGGATAGTTTGTCGATTTAGGATTCGATTCTCAACTATTTTCCTTATTGAAGAAAACAACTATTTCGTTTTAAAAATATTCTACCATGAGTGCAAAATATAAGATTTCAGTAGTAAAACTTTTTTTTTTTTTGTAATTTTTGCTGCCACACCTTGCTAGTTATTTTAAGGTTCCAGTTCGATAGTTTAAAATAGGCTAAGTGTCAAAGTAGGTCCGTGTAGTGACGGATGGTCCGTGTAGTGACGGATTAAGAATACGGAATGTCACAACCCCAATTCATCCCGTGGGTGTCGTAAGAGCCGACTAAGGGCGCAATACGCAGGATACCAGCACTGCAGAGAGAAGGAAAACTTGACACAAACCCTATACCAACCCGTCTGGCCAGCGTGGTATAGTAGGCCAAAACCTCCTTTCTAAGGAGAGGCCTATGTCCAGCAGTGGACTTATTAAAGGCTGTTG